GGGGGGACAGGGAAATTCGCACATTTTAAAAGAGCGCAAAGAAGTCCTAAAATACGCCGCAGCTTCAAGCAATTCATGTTTGCTTCTGCTTCGGTTATTTCCTGCATTTTTCTAAATGTTCGACAACGAAATTAGACTGATTTTTCACTACTGCGCTCTCGCGTGAAAAAAATCATTGCTCCCAAATTAAAGCGAGCAACTAGTTGAAGTTTTCACGATCTTTAGACTACAGTTGACTCTAAAGATCCATAAAGTTTCATAGTAATTTGTCCAAAATTCAGATTTTTTCCACCTTAACAAATATTGGTGTCATAGTTGATGCTCTTGCCAAACTGCACTCGTTCCTTCTAAAAGTCGTCTCACTCAAACCCAATCAGACAGGAATTGGAAAGTTTCACCGTACTTAGATAACAGCTGTCTCTAAATATCCGAAAAGTTTCAAAAAAACATGTCAAAACCCCATATTTTTCCAGCTTTGCAAATATCGGTCAGATAATGGAGTCAGTTAGTTAACTGAGATATCGCGTAAAAATTTCTTTCAAATTAATGTAAGCAACGAGTTTCAACTTTCTCAATATTTAGAAGATACTTGCATCCAAAAATCGTAGAAGTTTAATAGAAGTCGTTGAAAAGTCTGATGTTTTCCGGCTTAGCGAAAATCGATCTCATAATGGACTCATTTAGCCAAGTGCGCTCTCGCATGAAAAAATTAGTTTCTCTCAAATGAAAACAAACAATCAGTTGAAATTTTCACTATCGTTAGAAGACGGTTAACTCGAATGATCGTGAAAGTTTAAAAACAATCGTACGAAAATTGAGATTTTTGCCACTTTAACAAATATTGGGGAACAAAACATCTTTCGAAATCCAATTTTTTTCAGCTTGACAAATATCGGTCTGATAATGGACCCTTTCACCTAACTGCGCTATCGCATTAAAAATTTTGCGCCTCCCAAATTAATTCAAGCAACAAGTTGACATTTTTACAATCTTCAGAAGGTCGTTTACTGGAAAGATCTGACAAGGTTAGTAAAAATCGTTGAAAAGTATGAAGTTTTCTAGCTCAGCGAAAACCGGTCTGATGAGAGACTCATTTAGCCAACTGCGCTCCCGCATGAAAAAAATCGTTGCTCCCAAATTAAAGCAAAAAACTCGTTGAATTCTCCGAGTCTTTAGAATACAGCTGACTCTAAAGATCTGGAGAGTTTCATAGCAATCAATCGTTCGAAATTCCGAGTTTTGCCACCTTAACAAATATTGGTGACATACTTGACACTTTTTCCCAAAGAATTTCTTTCAGAATTTCCTCAAGAATGAAATGAGGAAAATCGATTTACGCTTGTGCACAGAAACGAAGAAACTTAAACTCAAAAGTTACTAGCAAATAACCACACGTTAAATTTTTCATAAATTTGATTCTGAGCATCAGGTGAAAGGAAAATGTTTCAATTTCGCTCTCATTGCAAACTTGAAATTTTCGTTCCTCAAGTCATCATTTTACTCGAAGCTGGCCGGATTCGAGAATATTGAATTAGACGGCATTCAAAGGCCAAAGCAGGGAATTCGATTAGTTCCCTTAAATGCGAATCTCCCGACCTTTCCACGGCTCTTTGCAGGAAATGAAGCTAGTTTCCATAGTAGCTGCGCTTTTTCCCTAACAATCACTCCTCTCATATAGCTATTTCTATTAAACTCGCACCAAAAAAACTGCAGTTTGCTTCTTCAGTTTTCAGCAATGTAAGCCAGTGGATGGGCAAATAATCCAGAAAACCTGGACGATTGTCTCGCAATTCTTTCGCTAATCCGGTGCTTAACAACTCCATCAGTCGCTCTTTGTTGTTTCCAAACAACGTCCATCTGGAGTTTTAAAGTCTTTGTCAAACAACGCAAAAGTCAAGTTGTGCTGTTGCCAGGAATTTCGTGCTGGCTTCCACCAGAACAAATACCCGTTTAATCCGCTGGATTATTTGCAAATTTACGCTCATCTTAAAGGGTCGTTTCATATGTTTTTGCTTCACAAAACATCAGCATTTTGTCGCCTAAAAGTTTTCTTGTTGAGCTTTACGGTTGGTCCCGAAAGATTTTGGGCTTGGCAGCCTTTGCTTGAAGCGAGTCAATTGTTTCCGTTTTCTTTCTTTAAAAATCAAAAGAGGTGGTTGGGTAAACCACCTTTGAATATGCAGGAGAATCCCGCTTGCGAAACATCAGAAAAATATTTTTTCGCCCACCAAAAAGTTTCTGCTTCAGTTATTTTCTGCATTTGCCCCCGTGTGGGCTTCAAAGGGTTTTTTCTGGATTTTGCTGATAACGATTTTTAATCAGGTTATGAGTGAAAAGGGCAGGATTGTTTTGCCAAAATGCCAAAAACGCATTTAAAAATGCTGTGTTATGAGCTGTTTTCAGTAGATTTGCAGAATAAAAATCCCGTCAATAATGACTACTTGATTCAATAATGTTGAAATATTAGCCGTTTCGTTCCATTGCCAAATGCACATTTAACAATATTGTGGAAGCTTGTTGTTTGCTGGCTAATTTAATTTTGATTCGAATTTTCCGAGCTAATAATTGCAGGAATTCACGGAAAATTTTAGGGCTTTCATTCTCGTATGTACAATAGCGAAAAAAGATCCGAAATAACCGGTAGCCAGTTGAGATTGTGCAGGGTTTATTTCATTTAAAAGTTCATTATTTGCGAAGACTTTACCGGGGAAAATTGCAAATAATCAGGCTTTGTTACAATAACGGTACCAAATGTTTCTGTTTGTAAAGGTCTAGAGCAGCAAAATCCGTAAGAATGAATAATGTCCTGTGTGTTTTTAATGGCATCGCATTAGGAAAATGAAATTCTGCCCAAAACTCGAGTAAATTGAATAATCAATCGGACCCAATTGAAATTCTCCAATTGAAATGCAATAATCGCGAAAAGAAACGCGGACGATTAATTAAATTGGGCTTCGCCTGAAACATTTAACTTCAAAACTCGTAAATCCCGCAAATCCCGCAAATTGAGGTGAAGAAGCACAGCGCAAAAAACCCGCAGATGCTTCCGCTTATCTCATTTTTCTCCAGTCACCGTTTAATTAAATTGGCCGGTTTACACCATATAAAAAAGGAAAAAAACACGCTTTTTTTGCGTTTCCACCCAGGTGGCATTATTTCCATTACTTCCATTTTCCAGCCCAATCAAACCGTACTTACCGCGGCAATCGGGCACAAAACTTCAAAGAACCACTACTCAAACGTGTAACAATTCCGCTCAAAGTTTCCGATTTTCGAAAAACTGGAACGCTGTTGGAAGCGGGCGCGTTCCAGACCGATCCAGAGCGACTGCAGCATCCGAACGTCTCATCTTATGATCCACCAATTGAAGCAAGCGCAACCGGGAATATCCTGTTTCATTACACCCGTTAACTGGCTTAGATGTTTGCGGGTAACCAATCAAACCAATATTTGTTTGAATCTGTCTGGAACAGGCCTTGGAAGGCTGAATTTGAAAAAAACACCTTTCAGCAACCAAAAGGCTTGGATAGAAAGGCGCCAGAGAAGCTGGGAACGGTCAAAGCACTGATAATTGCCTCAAATTGATCAGCTAATTGAGTTAAGAATCAGGACTGGCGGGTGATTTTATGTAAAAAACTCGGCGGTTTTGAGGACCCAATTTCCTGGAAAAGAGTTACTGTTTATGGGGCTTACTGGGAAGCTTAATGACCTGAGCTTTCCCGGAACAACATTAAGGTGCATTTTCCGATAGCAACATTATTCCAAGCTATTTCTAGCTAGGCACAAACATCGGCAGCAAAACCAGTAAAAGCACAAATCATTTTCCGCTCGGTGTTGTTTTAATTGAAAACTACCCCGATGATTATGCCAATATGGCCAAGCCAGCAAAATCAGCCTCAAATTGGAAAATATCGGTTCTATTTCCGTTTTTTTCCCGTTCAACTTGGGTCAAATTTCAATAAACCGAACAACAATTTTCGAATTAAAAAAATCAATCTGCCTGGCAACTTGCCAGGGTTTCCATAAAGTATTTCAATACTGTCGAGCCGACATAATTAGATTTAAAAACAATCTGAATCCTTAAAAGGCCAGCAGTGCTCCTAATTTCCAGGCTGGAAACAGTTGCAAGTGAGAGCGAACATGAGCAAAAAAGCGAGTTTTGTAGTTGTTTTAGTTTTATGCACTTTCGGCCAAAGTGGCAGTAATTTAGTGTTAAATGGTGACGGTCTATTCACGAAGATCAGCTGCCATCGTGAGGAAACTGACGAAAAATGCCTGGAAAGGTTTGTAGAACTTCCGAAGTGTTTCCAGCTGGATTTCACAAAAAAAACCTGCTTTTGCCCAAGAATTACAATTACATTAATCCAGATTATTGAAGCTCAGATTCACTATTCGAAAAAATTACTGAGTTTAAACCTGAGCTGAGTCAAATCACAGTGAGTTTTACCGCAAAAAGCCCCTAAGCCAAATTATAGCGAAATTTCTGATTTTTCCAGCAAAGTTTTCACATCGAAGTCGTCACTGGATTTATTGCAATTGGCAAATGCTTCAAGTCTGTTTGAAAAATGTCTACTTCTATCTATCGCAACATCCAAAAGCTCAATTTTTTCTCAACAATTTTTCTTTATCCATTTCTGTGAAGTTTTGTCTTTACTTTTGTCGAGAGTTCAAATTCACCCTCTTTCACACCTCTGATATTTGAAATTTAATGTTTCTAGCGAATGTTCGAATGTTTGACGTAATTTAATGAAGCTTCACATTGCTTAAAACGCTCAATTTTTAAATTAAAAGTTCAAGCGAAAATTCACATGATTTAAACCCAGTTTTGTTTCGACAAAGCTATTTTTTTCGAAGCAAGTCTTTTAGCCAATTTAAACCAAATTCCTACTTTTTCCTTGGGAAGTTTTCAAGTCGGAGATCGCTTTGATGATTCCTTTGAGAAGTTTTGAAATTCGTGAACTGTGAAGTTTTGACTTCACAGTTCAATAATTGATCAATAATTGAAACTTGATTTTCCTTCAAAAATTTGTACTTTGTTAAGCCGTTTCAACTTCATTTTTTCTGGGAGAAGTTCAGCTTTTAAAAAATATTTTTTCCAAGGCTCTGCACTTTCAACCACAGTTAAATAAATTTCCTGTTAATGTATGAAGTTGAGTCGCTCATGCAAGAAGTGTCATATAGTTTAAACCTAATAAATTCACAATTTTTTGCAATTGCTCTATTTGAACTTGAGTTTCACGTGCAACCCAGTTTAAACCTCAATCTGCTTAAGAAATTCGTGATTTGTTAAGACACAGCTTAAATTTGATTTTCCCTTCAGCTATTTATGTGAGAAAGTATTTTTGAAGTTCGAAATTCGAATGCATTTTTTGATTAAAAAATGTGTAATTTATGAAGTCAATACGTCTATACAAGAACCATTATGGAGTCTAAACCTGAATTTACTGCAGCACTTTACACTTTTTCGCAGTTTCCTTATTTGAACTTGAGCTTCGCTTGCAAAGTTTTGATGTAAAAGAATGAAGCTTCGCGTTATTTAGGACTTTAACTGTGAAGCTTGGACTTCAATTTATGAGGCGTCTCAAGTTGTTAACCTGAGTCTAATTAGAATGTCTTGACTGGAAAAACTGGACTTTAAATTCAGAATTCTGGATTCAGTTCTGGTTGTGTCACAAGATTTAAAACTGGTTTTTCTGAAAGGTTTGCAAGCAGAAGATCGGTTTTTACATAAGTTTGCAAATGCTTGAACTGTGAAGTTTTGGTTTCTATCTATCAGTTTAAACCTCAATTTGCTTAAGAAATTCGTGGTTTGTTAAGACACACAGTTCAAATTTAATTTTTCCTTCAGCAATTTATGTGAGAAAGTCTTTGTGAACTTCAGATTTCGAATGCATTATTTGATTACAAAATGTGTAATTTATGTCAATACGTCTCTACAAGAAACGTTATGGAGTTTAAACCTGAATCTACTGGAGAAATTCACACTTTTTCAATTTCCTTATTTGAACTTGAGCTTCACTTGCAAAGTTTTGATGTGAAAGAATGAAGCTTCACATTATTTAGGACTTTAGCTGTGAAGTTTAGACTTCGATTTATGGGGCGTCCCAAGTTTTAAACCCGAGTTTTATTAGAGTCTCTAGACTGGAAAAACTGGACTTTAGCATGAAATTTTAGATTCAATTCTGATCGGGTGGCAAGGTTTAAATCTGGTTTTATTGGGAATTTGGAACTGCAGACACACAAAGCCAGTTTATAGCAAAAACACTCCGCTTTTAAGAACAGTTTGCAAAAACGAAATTGAGGCAGGTCTTCAGTTGCATCGTAAAGTTTTTGCTTCAATCCAAGAGGTACCAGAAACTTTAAACTTTACTTTCAATCCGGGTTTAGCGGTAAAATAAGAATGCGTAAAAAATTTCAGAGCATTCTTTCACTAAAAAATGTATTCAAAACTAGTTAAAGTAACTTTGCAGCAAATTCAAATTAACCTGGGAGAATGAGCCGAAAAATGGAAACAGGACCAAAAATATCAAGACGTAAACGAATATGATGGAAAAATCGGGCAAAATTCTGCAGTCCGGCACTGGATAGTTAATCAGTGGCTCAATTAATCAACAAATCCTTATCCAAAGTTCAAAAGATCAACCGTCTAAAATCCCTCATTAAAATGTCCAAAATCGCTGTGATCGGTTGTGGTGCCGTCGGACTGACTTCGGCTCTGGAGTTGCAAAATAAATTCGGAAGTTGCATGCGAGTTACGATATTTGCGGACAAGTTTAGTCCAAATACGACAAGCGACATCGCGGCTGGACTTTGGGAACCGTACTTATTAGCCGATAATTCCGAATTTGATGTGTTCCGATGGTCCAGCCGGACGTATCGCTTTATTCTAAAACTCTGGCAGGAAGGTTTGCGTGTGGGCCTGGATTTCCACTGCGGATTTGTGTGGCTAAATGTAGTTTTGCAGGTGAAGCGAAAGCGGCAGGAATTTGCCTTCAACCCGTCGTCAATTTGTCTGCATTGAAAAATTATTCGTGCCCAAAATGGGTCGCTGCGACCATCGGATACAATGAACTCTCCGATGGCTGTTTGCAAAGTTTCAGCGAACTGTACGGGCAAAGTTTCACTGGCGGTTTTATGTTTATCAGCTTCACTTGGGAAGCGGCGGTATTTTTGCCCTATTTGCAGGTCAGTAGTGGAAAACCCATATGAAATTCAATGAGCGTGCTTTCTAGGGAAGTTTGCGAATTGAGGGGAGTTGGGAACACCTCTGAACTCCCATACAATACCATCTGAAGTTCCTGCCTTTTCAGGCAGGAGTTGCAGTGAAATGCCCACAATCCTTGCAATGCTGGTTAAAGAGCGATGAATTTTTTCAGCAAAAGTTCCTGAAAATAGGCGGCATTATAAAGGAAAGACATATCGGGAGTCTTAACGAACTGGAAGAATTCGATGCGATTTTAAATTGCACGGGACTCGAAGCCAGACGTTTATCAAACGATGAAACAGTTGTCCCGATTAGAGGGCAAATTATCAGAGCGGAGGCTCCCTGGCTCTATTTCACTTATGTGATTCAAAGCGAGCTGGAAGACCAAACTTGCTATGTGATTCCCAATGCAAAATCCGCTGTTTTCGGTACGGGAGCTCGTGGAGGAAAATTAAGATTTTTAATGAACTTTTCCAGGTGGAACCCAACAGAAAAGTTTCAGAACAACGGTAAGCAGCAGCGATTCGCAACGCATTTTACGGAACGTGCACAAACTGCTGCCGCAAATCGCTCAGGCCAGGATTTTACAGGAAATTGTGGGCCTCAGGCCTTCCAGGCCCAAAGTGCGTCTGGAGGCGGAATTTTTCAAGCTTGCAACTGGCAAAATTGTCCCAGTTGTTCATAATTATGGCCATGGCGGGGCGGGAATCACTCTAAGCATTGGATGTGCTCAGGATGCAGCTCTTCTCATAGGGAAAGTGTTGAAAATTACCAGCTCAAAGCTATAATAATTATTATTGCTCTAAACGTTTTTAATGTCGTCGAGGAAATCATGCAAAATTCAAATAAGCCAAATTTTTGTTTGGATTTTCCTCAAGGTTCAGCTTGGCTTGACCCATTGAATCCATTGCCAAACCTGAACTGAAATGTCTCGATGCGATGAAACCTAAATCTCTCAAGTTTTGTGAAAAGCTTTTGAATAGGTTTTTCAGCGACAAACTGACCACTAAAACCCGGTCTTCCTCAGTAACATAGAGTTTAAAGTTGTTGATGCTGCATGACTGAAACTCAAAAATGTATAGTACAAAATTGAAGAACTGTGAAACTCGTTTTATTAAAAAATGTCCTGAAAACCCACAGATTTTCCTATAAAATCAATTAATTCATCTTGCTAGTCCTAAAATTCATAAAATGATGATTTACCCAAATAACACGAGGTTTAAATCCTGCGAGGCGCCGAGAATTGAAACCAAAATTCATGATTAAAGTCCAGTTTCTTTTGCTAAATTTGCCCAATGGTTCAAGTGATGGGTTCAAAACTCCTAAGCAAACTGTAATCGTTTCTTCGATTTCCTCGAAAATTTAATACAAAGTTTCTGAAATAATCAAACTCTGTGACTCTTCTTGTGTGAATTCTGGCTTTCTCTCGATTGCCCTTCTTTTCTTCTTCCTACCCAAAAAAATCGACAGCATTTCTGGCACTAATTGTGTTTTCATGGCATAAAACTGACGAAGAAGCAGTGAAAGTCGATGGTTCTAATCACATCGGGCCGCATTAAAAATCCAGTCACGAACTGACATTTTCCTTCTGGAAAATGATCGCCGTTCGCAAACAATGCCCCAGCGAGCAGAGTGCTTCATTAATAAAAATACCAGCAAAAGAACCTGCTGCTCGATTCATATCAGAAATTTTTGACGGCAAAACCCTGGGCATTTTTAGGTCAGTGTTCTGCTCAAAGCCACTTCGGGCCAATTCGATTCAAAAGCAGCAATAAGTCCGCAATTTACACAGAAAGTGCTGTTTTCACATTTCGTAAGTTAGAGCGGAACAGTGGAAAGACTCGACAGTTTACTTAGGAGGCGAAATAAAAAGCCTGTATTCTCCATTTTGAGTTGTCGAATTTCTCCCATTAGAAAATTAAGAGAAAAGTGCTGCGATTGGTCAATTTTCAAAGGCTGTGTTGCAGGTTTAACATCTTTCTGCATTTTTGCCCTTAGGAGGAAAATTCATTCATTAACTGCCTGATTTTTCTTAAATGCTACGTTTCAAATTTCCGTTGTCTTCTTTAGAAAGGAATTCGATTTAAATCAGAAAAAATAAGTCAAAACTACGCACAGTTGGGTACAAACACTCGACTTGAACGCTGTAAAGGTTGGAAAAAATTGCCCTCATCTCACGTGCTCATTCTTTTCAAAAAATCTATTTTTTAGCCGATTTACTCAGCTTGTGGTAATGTTTACTTGTTATTACACAACGCTCTGCATGGAGTTTTAATTGCAACTTCTGTGCTGATTTAATGGGGCCTTTATTAATTAACATATTAATGCTCAGCGGGGTTCTGGAATATTAAAGTGCGGTTTTAGTGGAAAAGTTTACTCTCAGCTGGGTAAATGTGCGATTGCATTATTTAGATGCAAATCCATATGGAAGTCCATCGGGAGTTGCGTTTTCTCAAGAGCTCAATCGCACTAAATTCTAATTTATACCAACGCCTTCAAAAATGAGTAAAAATTGAGCAGTTTCACTCAACTACATGCTTGGTTTTCGAAATGCATAACTTCCTAACCAGAGCAAGTAGGAACTTGAAGTTTTCCTTCCCTATAGAAAGTATCTACGGTTTCCTACTAGTAAATTTCTACTGCAACCGCACTAAATCGTAATTTGTACCCTCGCTTTCAAAGAATCAGTCAAAAGCTTACACGTCCAGTCAACTGCACGCTTGTATTTGAAAATTCATAACTTCCGATGCAGCGACGTGAAACTGTCGCACCTTATAGCAGACACTTGAGGTCGACCACTGAGGAATTTTAAATTTACTCGTCCTAATTTCTAATTTTTGCAAACGCTCTGAAAAATTTGTAAAAAATCAACACGTTTAGTCAACTAGATGCTTGCATTTTAAAATGCATAAGTTCCTGTTCCTAACAAATAGAAACTTAAAATTGGCACGGTTCATGGACGACAATAGACTGTGATCACGCGTGAACTCCCACTTAAATCGCACCAAATTAGCATGTTTGCTAAAGCTTTGAAAGTTGAGTAAAAAATCAACACTTTTAGTCAATTACATGCTTTCCCTTGAAAATTAATAACTTGCAGAACTCAAACAAGCAGAACCTTGAAATTTTGACACCCCGTAGTAGATAGCCCAGGATGATTACCCGTAAATTTCCGTTTAAATCACACTAAACTCGAAAGTTTCCGAACGCTGTAAAAAATGAGTAAAAACGGCACTTTTGGTCAACTAGATGAAATTCATGAAAATTCATAACTTCCTATTGCAAACCAGTAGAAACTTGAAATTTGCACGTACAATAGAAAAGCCTTGAAGTTCGATATCCGCAAACTTTCACTTAAATGGCACTACGTTTTGCGACGATTTGAAAAAATCAGTCAAAAATTAACAGTTTTAGTCAACAGCTGCTTCCATTTCAAAATTTATAACTTCCTGGCCCAGAGACGAAGAAACTTGAAATTTACGTGTTCCTTAGAAGACGCGTAAGCTTTATCCCTCGTAAATTTTCACTTAAATCAAGCTGAACTGCAATTTTTGCGAACGATTTGAAAAATGAGTAAAAATTGAACACTTTCAGTCAACTACATGTTTGCATTTGAAAATTGATAACTTTCTGTTCCAAACAAGTATAAACTTTGAATTTGTACGTTCCACACAAGATACTTGAGATTGGCTACTCGTAAACTTTCACTTAAATCACACAAAACTCCAATTTTTTTCAAGGCTATGTAACTTGAAATAGAAAATCAACACTTTCAGTCAACTTCATGCTTGCCTTTGAAAATTCATAGCTTTTTTTTCCAAGCAACTAGAAACTTGACATAATGCGCAGATCCTCGCTCCTGACCACCCGTTAAATTCCACTTAAATCTCACCAAACTTGAATTTTTGCGAACGAGTTAAAAAGTGAGTAAAAATCAACACTTTTAGACAACTAGATGCTTGCATTTGAAAATTGATAAGTTGCTGTTCCAGACAAGTAAAAACTTGAAATTTGCACGTTCCGTAGAAGATACTTGAGCTTGGCTACCTGTAAACTTTCACTTAAATCGCCCTTAACTCCAATTTCTGCCAACGCTTTGAAAGTTAAAAAAAAAGTAACACTTTCAGTCATGTCACATGACTGTCTTTAAAAATAAATTCATAGCATCTTATTCCAGGCAACTGAAACATGACTAAAATTCTGCTTGAATCGCGCTAAACTTGAATTTTTGCGAACTATTTTTAAAATGAGTAAAAATTAACACTTTTAGTCAACTAGATGCTTGCATTTAAAAATGCATAATTTCCTAAACAAGTAAAACTTGCAATTTGCACGTTCCATAGAAGAGACACGCGTTGGGCGACTCGTAAACTTTCATTTAAATCCCGGTAAAACCCAATTTTTGCCAACGCTTTCAAAATTAAGTAAAAAATCAACAGTTTCACTCAACTGCAAGCTTGTATTTGAACATTTTAAACTTTCTGATCGAAGCAATCAGAAGCTTAAAATTTACAATTTCTATAGAAAACACTCGAGCGCGACTACTTGTAAGCTTCCACTTGATGAGCACTTAAACTCGAATTTTGCGAACGATTTGAAAATTGATTAAAAAATTGACACTTTTAGTCAACTAGATGCTTGAATTTGAAAATTCATAACTTCCTAATCCAACCTAAAAAAAAATTTAACTTACACGTTCCATAGAAGAAACTTGACCTGGACTACTCGTAAACTTTCACCTAAATAACGCTAAAACCCAATTTTCTCGAACGGTTTTAAAAGTGAGTAAAAAATGAATAGGTTCACTCAACTACCAGCTTGCATTTCAAAATTCATAACTTAATGATCCAAGCAATCAGACACTTAAAATTTGCATTTTCTATAGAAGACTCTCGAGAGTGATTACTCGTAAACTTCTACTTCAATTGACTAAACTTTAATTTTTTGAACGATTTGAAAATTGATTAAAAAATTAACACTTTTAGTCAACTAGATGCTTGCATTTGAAAATTCATAACTTCCTGTTCCAAACAAGTAGAAACTTGGAATTTGCAGGTTCTATAGAACATACTTGAACTTGGATACTCGTAAACTTTCACATAAAGCACACTAAACTAGAATTTGTGCGAACGCTTTGAAAATTGTATAACAAATTAACACTTTCAGTCAACTACAAGAATGTCTTTGAAAATTCATAACTTTCTATGCAGGACAAGTAGCACCTTGAAATGAGCACATCGTATAGCAGACACTCCATCGTCACACTACTTGTAGATTTCTACTTAAATTGCACTGAAATCGAATTTTTGCTTACGGTTTTAAAAATGAGTAAAAAATCAACACTCTTAGTCACACTAGATGCTTGCATTTGAAAATCCATAACTTCCTATTCGAAGAGACTTGACCTTGACCACTCGTAAATTCTCACTGAAATCCGAGGAAACTGTAATTTTTTCCAATGCTTTGAAAAATGAATCAAAAATGCGCTCAACTTTTTTCACTCAACTGAAAGCTTGCTTTTAAAAATTGAGAACTTCCTGTTCCAAGCAGGTAGAAACTTGAAATTTGGACATCTCATAGCAGACACTTGATCTGTTGACTACTCGAAACTTCCACGTGAATAGTGTTAAACTGAAATTTTTTAAATCGCTTTGAAAAATGAATAAAAAGGAAATTACAAGTGGGAACTTGTAATTTGCAGCGCCTATAGAAGACGCTGGCAGTTGCCAGTTCAGATTTTGCCAACGCTTTGAAAAATTAGTAAAAGAGTTATTTTCCCGGCTCCAATAAAAACCTGCTAGTTTTACAACCTGAAAAATCGAAGTTCCCTAAACAATTGTGGCTCCCAAAATATTATTTGGCAGAGCAAATTAGCTGAAGCCATTGTAATAATGTGGTGTTTCTCCAGAGAGTCAGCGACGTCACCGCTGCCAATTAGCTGGGAGCTGGATAAGTTGAAAGAACCTACTAAAGACAACTTGACGCGTCATAACACTGCGAACTCTGGATTGCAGTTCCTGGATATTCCCTTAGGTGACGACTTAAAAATCCGCGACTTACAGCTGGAGAATCAGTTTGTGCTGTTCGAGGCGTTTTCCAAATTAACTGGATATTTGCTTCCCAGTCAGTTTCCCATTGGTAAGTACAAAGTAAAACGCGTGCAAATGTTGATTTCTCGTGGAGAAAATTGAGAGAATCCGCAAAGGTTTTCCAGTTAAATGACTCCTCGCATATGAAAAACCGCATCAACTAAAAGAGATAAGCGCCAGCATGGAAATGGGGGCGGGTATTGTCTCTCAGTTTTGTAACGGATGTTCAGCATTAACCATCATTCGGGAGATTTAAGCGAAAACGGAGGAGTGCGCTTTAAAAAAACCCGAACATTGCTTTTGTGCTTATTTAAAATGAATTTTATTATCCAGCTGGATCTGGGAGTCATAGTCGAAACACTTTATTTGAGGCTTGGGAGAAATGGAATCTTTTATAAAGTGCCTCCGGCTATTCTATAGACGCGGGTCAATAGTCGACATATGGATGGGACGAGTTGGGATCCCTCAGGATTTTCTTATGGCTTCGCTCTTTGCTTTCTTGCTCTGTTCACGGGAATAAATTCATCCACTCCAGACTGGTTGCAGTAATTTGGATTCAAACTGGAAATCCATCGGGATTTTAACTGCGATTTTATGACAAAATTTTGTGGTATTTTCACCACAGGAAAACCCTTTTGCGGGATATTTTGACTAAAAAAAAACTACTGCTCTTATTTTACAATGAAGGGTTTCGAGCCTGATGATGATCAAACCGCTGTGAATTTTTGGCCGATTTTTTAATTGTTTTAAAAAAGGTAAATAAAATTAACTAAGAATTTTGGTGAATTTACAGATAATGCAATGTATGTTTGTACCACCACTTTTGAGTTTGAGACACCCTGTATCAATTGGTATTATCTTACAATAAACTAGACGTCAGTATATACAACTTCTGCATTTAACATTTTTCTCTAAATTTCAAATTAGATGCGTAAACGGGGTGGCCAAAGTTCAATCAATAACCCTGTACATGAGACGCTAATGCGATTGTTTGCAGTGGTTTTTCGTGTTCAAATTAGTGTCGGGCCCGTAGGGCCAAATTGATTAATTTTGAGGCGAAATACTCAAGGAAAACGTTGTGGAACTCAACCATGTGGAACTTATTTTCAGGCCTCCTGAACGAGACTCTCGGAGGCAAACAACCCCTGCACTTCTGGGTGTTGCAAGTAAAATGTGACTTAGCAAACTGTAATCAGCCTCAAAAATTGATTCATTCCTACAGATATTAAAGTGGGAAATTCCGGTCGTTGTCTGGATAATTTTCTGGGCGATGCTCGCACTGTGTTTCCCGCTGGGAGTACTGGTTTCCCTTTGCTGCTCCCCAGATGGCGATGGAAACTGCGGAGAAACCAAAGGACGCTGGACTGAAACCACGCTCTCCTCTTTGCTCTATTTACTCCTGATTCTGCTGCTGTGAGTATCCATGATGGTTTTTATATAAACATCCATATGAGGGCATTTTCAGATGTCCATTGGCGCTGATCCTGGCAAGCAATGAGCAAATAGCAAAGACAATCGGCCAATCGCCTGCTTTGGCAGCGCTGCTATATGGAGACATTGGAAGATTCATCCGCAACTCCCATATGCAAATTTCCTTTGTAGCGACTTCGTCCACTGACATCGCGCTGGAAGCGATCAGGCAGGACTTGGAAGGTAAAACTTCCAACTCTTGGAATTGGGAGTTCCCCCTGTTTGAAAACTCTTTAACAAAATTGCGGTTTAACAAGATAAAATGGAATATTTATCACGGCTAATGGGCGAAGAACACGAAATGTATAAGGGCGGTAATAAAAGCTGAGTAATGGCTGAACTTAATGAGTTTCCATCCGAGCGGGAAAGTTTCCTTTGGGTGGATGGCGCGGTCATTTTAGCGGATTCTCTGTTTGGTAGACATTGGCCGATACGTGGGAGCGCCCTATCAGCAGCAACTCTGCAAAGAAACCGGCCTGGATCGCGCTTTGATCGGCCTGGAGGATCTGAAAGCCGGTGCAACTCCCTGCAATGTTTGCTGAATGCAAAATTAATGCTTCAACTTTGCAGAAACGGCGAGAGTTTCCTCAATCGTGTCCGATTTGCTTGCGGCGAGCGATTCGGCCAAACGGGCAGGTGACACTTTGCAGGACGAAATGCAGGAAATAGCACGTCAGCTGGTCAGCATCCAGCAGCAGTGCGACGCAAAAGATAGAGCGCTTTGTTTTGCTGTCCAGTTTCCTGGATACGACACGACAATTGCGCTGGAAAATGTAAGTGGACAAGGACATTCAGGCGGTTTCAGACGGAAAACTTTCCGGAAAAACTGAGCTAAGATTCGGCATTTATGCTAATTTCTCCGGGTAATATATTAAGCGAACTGCGTCCCCTTATCGCGATCCTTAGTTGCTACTCTGGTCCTAAATTTCAGCCTTATCCTATCTGATTCGAGCTTTATACCGAACAATTTCCATTAAGGAGTGCTTTGCTGTGTTCGTGAAGTGATTTTCCAGCTGTTATTTTGCCCGTTAATGTGTGGTTAATTCCACGGCATCGAATGGTTATTTGGGTATTTTTGCTGATTCCAGCTGAGGTAAACCGCAAACGCTTCACCTAAATATCTGGAGTGGAAGTCAAAATGTAGCAAACTTCTAGCAGAGATTAGGACACTACTAATCTCTGCTTCTAGAGGCGTCAGAAATATTCGCTTGTAAAACTGCGTTTGTTGCGTTAAAATCGCCCAATTTTACGGGAAAATCATAGGAAAGAATAGAGCAAAAACCCCTTTTACTGGAAATTGAAAAGCTTCTACCTGGAAAATGATGCAACACTGCAGATTTTTCCAATTTCTGACAGCGATTGGACGCGCTGTTATAGTTGGAACAGACTCTGAGATTAAATTTAAAGAGACAAAAAAAATAGTCAAAATTTCCGAGATTTTCCAAAACTCGCAAAATTTTACATTGGGTCGACAGCACATTGAAATTTTCAAAAAAAGACTTTGGAAAAAAACTGATGAAAAATATTATTGGGTCAAAATGGTCAAAGTTTCATTTTATTTCGAAAGCACGTTGAGGATTTAGGCATTATCAAAAATGGACTTTGAGAAAATGTGCTTATTCTCAAACGTGCACTTGAGCATTTAAAAATTCAAAAAAATTCAGCGGGAACAATTTTCAGCTACATTTGCAAGGTTTTTGCGTGTAAACGGTAAAGATTGTATTTTGTATTATAGCACATTGATGATCACCAATTTTTCAAAATTCGTCTTGGGATAAATGAACTTTTTCTCAACCATGCATTTCTTCATTTAAACATTTTCAACTTCTACGACAGAAAAGGTCCGGGGGGAAAATTTGCAGATTTATTTGAAGAATTGGCACATTGAGGACTTAAAAACAAATTTTGAAAATTGCAATTTTTCTCAAACGTCCATCTCCCCATTTAAAAATTCGTGTCTTCAAAACCAGAAGAGAATCAATCGCGACCCTTTACATGTTGATTCAACAGAAGTGTGCGTCGAAGGAGTCAAAGTTTCACTTAGTTGTAGAAAGGCACTGGGAATAAAACAAATTTCAAAAACATAATTGAGGAAAATATGATTATCCCCAACGGCATATTACTTAATTTAAAAATTCGCAACTTAAAAATGAGGATACTTTCACCAGGAAACTTTGGAGAGTTTCACAGACAGACACACTAGTCGACAGAGCCTAAAATTTCGCTTAGTTGGAAAAACACACTGAGGCTTTAAAAATGTTTAAAAACAGATTTTGGAAAAAATGTTTATTCTCAATTTTGCATATATTTATTTAAAAATTCATCACTTCTAAACCGATAGAGATTCTACAACAATCATTTGCAGGTTTATTAAATAGACATGTATATCAAAAACACCAAAATTTCTGGGAAAGCATGGCGTGGAGGTAAAAATTTTGAAAAACGGATTTTGCAAAAATTTTACTATTCTCAATTGTGCATTTCTTTATTTAAAAATTCGTGGCATTGATTCCGGAAGAGATTCAGCTCTGAATTTAAGTATTTTTTTTTATAGATGTGTGTCTGAAAACTGTCAAAATTTCACCTTAGTGAGAGAAAACAAGAAGTTTTGGTAATCGAATTTTGGAAAAATGTGATTATTCTCACTTGTGCATTTAAAAATTCATTAATTTCAGTTTGCTTGGAAGGCACATTGGGGATTAAGAAATTTTGAAAAAATAATTTTGGAAAAATGTAGCTATTCTCAAACGTGCATTGCTTCATTTACAAATTCGTAACTTCAAAATACGAAGAGACTCAAAATTGGACTTTTGCAAGCTTTTTTGACAGACATGTAGGTCAAAGCTGTTAAATTTTTTTTGTGCTGGGAAAGCACAAAAATGTTAGTATACTGAAGTGTGCACCTCTTCATTTAAAATTCATAACTTGAAAACTAGAAGAGAGAACCCACTTTTTTCAGATTTATTAAGCAGATGTAGTGTTCATAATTGTCAAAATTTCTAAATGGAGGCATGTTAGAGATATAGAAATTTTGAAAAAATAATTTTGGAAAAATGTAACTATTCTCAAACGTGCATTTCTTCGTTTACAAATTCGTAACTTCAGAATCCGAAGAGACTCAGCACTGGACGTTTGCAAGCTTTTTTGACAGACATGTAAGTCAAAGCTGTCAAAACATTTTCTGTGCTGGAAAAGCACATTGCGAATTTATAAACTGTCAAACAAAGATTTTCCAAAAATGTGAATATTCTCAAGTATGCATCTCTACATTTAAAAATGTATAACTTCAATACCAGAAGGGGTTCGACTGCGGCCTTTTGCAGGCTTATTAGGCAGATGTGTGGCTTGAACCTGCCAAAATTTTTATTTGTGCACAAGGCACGTTGGAGATTTATAAATTTTCAAGAAATGATTTTGGAAAAATGTGATTATTTTCTAACGTGCATTTCCTTATTTAAAAAATTGCCACATCCAAACCCGGACCATATTTAATTGCAGACATTTTTTAATCTACGAGTATTTGACTGAGATGTGCTTTAAAAATGTCAAAATATTGGCAATGCAAGTTAAGGATTTAGAAACTGTCAAAAATGGATTTTTAAAAATGCGATTATTTTCAATTGTGCATCACGTAATTTGAAAATTCGTACCTTCAAAATTAGAAGAGACGCAAAGTCGTACTTATGTAAGCTTATTTGACTGACATGTAGGTCAAGAATGGCAAAATTTTCGTATGCTGGGAAAGCACATTGCAAATTTATAAAGTGTCAAAAAGAGATTTTGCAAAAATGTGATTGTTTTCCAGTGTGCAATTTTTAACTTAAAAAATTCGTAGCTTTTATCCCAGAAGAGATTCAACAATGATTTTTTTTGTAAAACTAGACACAGAAAAGCGTAGAAAAACTGTTTGAAAGGTTTTGCGCAGAGTCAAGAATTTCTGGCGTAAAAAATATAAGAAATTCAAAAATACGCGAATCAACAACAGGAAGACTTAAATTAACTGGGCAATAGCCAAAATCGCCGATTTTTGCGAAATTTCACATGAAATTTGAAAAAATGCTGGAATACAGTGTTGCCAGACGAAATCAAATAACGTTAAACTACCGCCTGCAATCTGACCTTCAGGGCAGAAAATATCACAACTTTGTCAATTTTGTGCAATTTTAAAAATTCAAAAAATCCTCCAAGGCGCCCCTTCAGCACTTTTCAGCCAGTAAAAAGCCGGGCAAAAGTTATGGATTTGTCGAGAACAAGTCAAGAACCGCTTTTCATCTGCTAGATAACCAACGACGCAAAAATCCACCAACTCGAGCGACTGACAAAGGATTCTTCCTTCAATGCGAGCATCGACTTCGCCAGGCGAATTTACCACAACATTCCCGAACAAATGGCAGAAGAATCATCCCAGTTCGTTGCAGGTTTAATGCATGTTCTTGCTGCTGAACAGCTTTTTTCCATCAGTTTCCATCACTTTTCCGCAGACATTAAATCGCTGTTAAGCCGCAAACGAGCGCAGATTTACAAGTCCACACATGATCTGGACATGTTTGCCAGGACGATGTCGCAGAAGGTGAACGGAAGCAGGAAAGCAATTTTCACTCAGCTCGAGAATGTCGTTAAATGGGATTTGTGGCGCTGGATGGCAATATTAGGTAATCCATTCCATTATCTCGTTATACAAGATTACTGTTTTAGCTGTCGGCGGGAATTCATATCTATTAGATTGGCCGACAGTAATTCGATAACGTTGCAACGATTTTGCGCCTGTAGTAGATAGTTTTCCTGGAGATTTGCATCCAAACAGGCCGCAGGATTAAATAAGCGACCACACTTTTCGAAGGGGAAAATGCCCGGGAAATGGGGGCCGATTTTACGGCCGGAGATCCATTGAAATGTCGTTTGGATGCAGAACATGCCAGGAATGGGAATTTTCCAAATGAAACATGCTAAAAAGTGTATTCGATGGCCACAAAAAAAATTGAATTCATCAGACAGACAGATTTCTATAGCGCAAATGCCCACACTATGATTAATTGAGCCATTTGCGCTGCGCTAATAAATCAGCGGGCCAACTTTTACATTTGGGCGCGCTGTTGCAGGAAATAAAATAATCGCCTAATTTTTGTTAATGTTTGTTAATTATTAATATACCGGAGTTTTTCGATGATTTATTGCAGCCATCGCCGCTCTGCTGGCTCTAACGTGGGGTTGTCTAATCACTGGCGCGCCTCGCGGTTGCGGCACGAGATTCAGAGCTGGGCCCTGCCTCAAAATCGGCCTGATCCTCTCCTGCTTGAGCTGCTGGGTTTTATGGGCCTTAGGTAAAAAATCCTGCTAAGAACAATCCAGATTGTTTATTGGGTGATCCGAAGGAGGCGCCGCCCTGCTGGCAGGAGGCAATGGAGAGTCGCTGATCTGCCAGCCATTGCACGATCATCCCTACTATGAGTTTCTGAGCAAACTTGCCCGATCCGGCGGAGTTTTCCAGGCAAATGACTCCATTGACTTAGCCAGCGTGCTCAAGTAAGTGCTGATTGGCTGGAGATTCCTGGATGAATCCAGGGAATTTTCAGAAGCTGCCAGCGCGACCTGTCGGCCTATGAAACCTTCCGGCTCCACACGCGTCTGGATTTGGACGCTTTCAACCACAAAACCTGGAGAAACTTTACGAAAATCCTGGACCAGTTTGCCTCCACTGCGCCCAGTCTTGAACTATTGAGCCCAGAATTGCAGGAGAACTTGCAGGTAAAACTCCACACGGCGGACAAATCTGGCCAAAAAGCTGAGTTTTTCAGACACTTGCATCGACTACAGCAGCAAATTTATCCAGCTACAGACAGCAATTGTCCGGCAAAGAGCGCGATTTGGGCCCTTTTGCCGAACAGCTGAACAACATAGCCAGACAGCTGCTTGACCCACTGGTGAGCAGGAAATTCGACTACTTGGTAAGCAAAAAACCCGCATAGAACATTCCAAAATCCCAAACCGATAACTAGTGTTTTTGCTCGCTCATTATAGTGTTTCCAGGCGTTTTCCGTGCGAAACATCGTCCAGAATTCCGTACAAAGACTGAATGGCTTGCGAGGAAACATCCTATACAAAATCACCATGTTGGAGGTATTGCAGCCGCCGTTGAATGGCTGTCTCCATCGATCACTGTCCCACCTCAAAACTGTTCAGTTTTTTCTGGACAATCAAGCCTGGACTATATCGGAGCGGGTAAGAAGGGCAATGGGCTGCGAAATCGGCAAAGAGATAAATCTTGCCCCCTAATGAAGAGCTCCAAAGCGAAAATATCGGCCGGATAAAGTTGCGACTTTGGCGTGGAGTTGCTCACAGTTTATGGACGTAGATAAATCGAAAGTTGCCAGGATTCAGTCCAAAACTTACAAGGTTTTCGGATAATCGGAAAGTCGTAAAAACCGCAAGTGACACAGGCAATGAACAGTCCGAATGAAACGAAATGGCCAGTTCGCATCGATTTCAATGCAGTTTTATGGTCAATATGCTGGTTTCCTGCGGGAATTAGTCGGCTGGTCAGGTGAAAGTCATGGGGAGTATCAACAGTTGAGGAGTTTTCGTGAGGCAATGTTTTGCCCAAAGTAAAATTGGGAAAAATCAGAAAAACCGACAATTTTACTAAGAGAGACCAAGTTCCCAATAGCATTTTCAATATTTTTTAACAACACTCCATTGAAACATTTTACAGTTTTGAAGATTTTTCGATTGTAACATAGAGCCGGTTATCCAAGGACGCTGTAGTGGAAATACCATCAAAATTAGTGGTTCTGCAAATGCAGTGTTTCATTATTTACCATTTTCTGGCTTCAAAAGGAATTTTTAACAAGTTTCTTCCAGTCAAAGTCAACGATGATATGAAAAAATTATTTGTTTCTGGGATGTAAAATCGTGAGTAAAGTCGAAGTCCAAAAGCTAAGCTGGTGAAAATCCACTATTTTGCCAGGTAACATGCCAGGCCGCATTTTTTTGACGTTTCCTGATTGCTAAAGACATTTAAAACATTTTTGTTACCACGGATTTAGGCAAAAAGTCAACACTTTCGGAGATTTTCGTATTCTTACATTCTGTTGGTGACTAAAGCGCGATCTGATAAAAATACACCCAAAACTGCCAGTTTTGCAATGGAGATGTTGCATTGTTCAACATATTCTCGTTTCTAACAAAATATTGAACATTTTTTGTTTAGCCAGCAACCCGAACATAGACAATTTACGAGTTTTCTTGGTGTAAAACTTTGAACAAAATCGAACTTTAAAGGTTAGCAAAAAGGAACTATTTTGGGTGACAACGCCGCACTTTTGTGACGTTTTGTGATTGCTAATGATATTTTCTACAACTTTAGTTACCAAGGGTTTGCAAAAACTCAATACATTTGGAGATTTACTGATTCCTACATTCTGTTGGTGACTAAAGCTCGTTCTGATAAAAATAGGCGCAAAACTGGCAGTTTTGCAATGGAAAAGTTGCATAACTAAACATTTTCTGGTTTCTAACAAAGCATTGAGCATTTTTTGTTTAGTATCCGACAACCTGAAAATGAACAGTTTATGAGTTCTCTGGGGGTAAAACTTTTAACAAGGTCGAACTTTAAAAGTTCGCAAAAAGGGACTATTTTGAGTGGCAACGCCGCACTTTTTTAACGTTTTGAACAACTTTGGTTGCTAAGGGTTTATGCAAAAACTCAATACATTTGGAGATTTTCCGATTTTTACACTCTGTTGGTTACTAAAGCACATGCAAATGAAAATAGCTTCAAAACTGGCAGTTTTGCAACGGCAATGTTGCATTGTTTTCATTTTCTAGTTTCTCACAAAATTCTGAGCAATTTTTGTTTAGTGGTCAATAACCTTCACATGAACAGTTAACGAGTTGTATTAGTGTGCATCTTTCAAATATGTCAAACTCCAACAGTTAGGAAAATGCACATTTCCCGATTACTAATGACATTGTGAAGATTTTTCGTTAGCAAAAGTTCATGCAAAACTAAACACTTTTGGAGATTTTAGATTTCTTATACTCTGCTGGTGGCTGAAGCACATTCTAATGAAAATACCCTCAAAACTGTCAGTTTTACAATGGCGATGTTGCATTGTTTAATATTTTCTGGTTTTTAGGGCAAGTTAGAACATGTTTTGTTTAGTGGACGACAACAGTAACATGAATATTTGATTAGTTTTATTAGTGTGAAACGTTCAAAAATGACAAACTCCAAAAGTTAGGAAAAATGCACTATTTTGGCAGGTAACGCCGCAGTTTTTTACGTTTTCTGCTTTCTATTGCAATTTTAAATATTTTTGGTTATCATAGGTTTATGCAAAAACTCAAAACTTTTGGAGATTTTCCGATTCTTACATCCTGTTGGTGACTAAAGGACATTAAACTGAAAAACGCTCAAATCTGGCAGTTTTGCAGCGGCAATGTTGCATTGTTTAACCTTTCCTGATTTCTAACAATATTTCGAGGTATTTTTGTTTAGCGTTTTGCGACAACCGCAAAATCAATACTTTTTTCATGGACTGAAACTTTCAAAAAAGTCAAATTCTTAATGTTAAGGAAAATTGAGTGTTTTTAATTGAGTGTGCTTGCAACACCGCGGTTGATTGACGTTTTCTGAATATCTACGTCAATCAAGAAATTTTGCATTAGAAACATCTCTGAGTGAAACTCAATGATTTGGGAGAGATTTGGAAATGTAGGTACATTCCTTATGCTACTAAAGTGTCTTCGAGTAAAAGCACTCTTAAAATTGGTTTCTCAACGGCAACGTTGCCTTATTTAAATTTTTCCGATTCTCCGATTCGATAAAGTTTGCCGATGAAAACTTTCACAAAAAATCCTCAATGGAAAATTTTAAATTATTCGCAATTTTTTGTGTTGCAATGTGGCACCTCGTATTTTTCTCTGGGTTCTGGCGGATTGTGGTATGTAGACAAATTTTTCATATGAACACCTCATAGTGAATCTCGAAAGTTTTCCAGATTTATGGATATTCATATTCTCTTGTCTGCTGCCTTTCACCGACGATATTCGGGAAAATTCGTGATTCTCACGGACAATGTTGTCATTTATTATATTTTCCGATTGCTAACGAAATTTTGAAGATTTTTGACTAGTAAATGACACTCATGACACCCACAATTGGCGAGTCTTCGCGATGTTAACCTTTCAGTCAGAGCTTTAAACATCAAGTCAAGAGCTCGGCAAAATTGACTAATTTGCAAAGAAAACCGCAGTTTTCGCACATTTTGAAAGTTTTCAAGACATTTACAGGAATTTTTGTTCGGAAAACCCAGGAACTTGATGCCTTTGGAGATTGTTACATATTTTCATTCTGGACTACCAGTGAAAGTACCTTCAAGTGAATCGGGTGGTTTACCAGACGCGATGTTGCCTAATTGCACATTTTCTCATGACTCGGGAAATTTTGAAGGTTTTTTGTTCAGGGAACCGTACTGGTAAGGCCAAAGGTTGCCCAATCGTGGAGACTTGAACTTTTTAGTAGGAGCTTTCGACATAAATTTTGAAAAAGTATTCAAAACGGGAATTTTTTTAACCACCACGTTGCATTATTTCAAATGTTCCAAATGGTAAAAACATTTTTAAATTTTCTAGCAAAAGTCGATTATTTGACGAGTATTTTTCCCAAATTGCCTAAGTAAAGCTTACCAGACCTTGACAAGCACACTTTCGCAGTTACGGGAGTTTTGAAAAATTTTCCTAAGTTCTTCAATTTTAATAAAATATTCAATTAAAAGTTGCAATAGACTTTTCGCTATAAAATAGTCCAATCAGCGACGATGCAACTGTTGGGGTTCAAAAGTAGCGAATTATTGAAACAAGGCCTACCTACATCTGAAACTCTTCAGACTAAGTGATTATTCCAGTCTTCTTAAAATTGATCTTTCTTTGTACGAAACGTTAAAAATTTTAAATTTTTGTATCGCTGTGCTGTCAAGAACTCGCTTCAGATGCAGAACTTTTAATCCGGTTGCCATTAACAAATTAATCCATAAGGAAGGCAACAATCAAAGCGGCCAAAATTAGGCGAAACAATGGGGCCCGGAAAAAAGCGGGTTCTTGGATTGGGTGATTGATTCCAGTCCCTTAAAGGGCCTAATTGTAGATTAGCAAACGGCGAAGAACAAAGGCGGCTTGAGCGAAATGTGCGAACAAAAGCCAAAATCCAACAATCGGGCGGCCCTGGATCAGAGCAAAGCCAACCCAAATTGGCTAAATGGAACCAACATAAAAGAAAATGATTTAGTGTCCGGACGGTTTGCTCTTTCTGATTGTCCAAGGAGGAGGCAAATAGCGATGACGTTGATTGATTGCGTCACCCTGCCGGCATTCAGGACGAGAAAATTGAAAGGGCCCCCTTTTTTCAGCATTCATCTTTCATAGAGACGTTCCAGTTAACACAATCATTCATGTTAATTAAATCGCTTTTCCAAGGAAACAGTTGCCAAATTCTCTTTTTTCCAGGCCAAAAGACAATTTACGGCGAGACTCAAAAATTACTTAGAACAGCTGCACGATCACGTCGCCGGAAAAGTCGCCAAAGAGATTGGAAAGTGTCGGCCGCTTTGGGCCATTTTCCACGCATCCAGATTTCACGTGTGTAAATTGATGTTTGATCCGGTGGTAAGTATTCGAAACGTGAGGGTTTATCAGGTGCTTTATGGCCACGTAACCGGAACGTTTCCATTCGGGATAAATTGAAATTGGCCCGGAAACTGGCTGTAAAGAAAATACGTTTTCCTTACCCTCTTAGCATGATTCTCATCAGTTTTGCTCAGTTGTTTTCAATTTATTTCTCAGACTTATCAGTCGTGGCTGGAGACGATGAGAGGGGACCAAGGGTCTTAAACACACAGGCGAAAGTAGCCACAACCCAAAAAAACCCAGAACTTTCCAGCTCTAATGCCGCTTTTGTTGCTTAGTCTTGTTCACTTTTATTAGCAGTTTTTGTTCACAGAATGCCATTGCCTTTGGCTGCCATCTGCTCATCTTGATCCTCATGGCCTTCGGGCCGATTGTTGTGAAGCTTTTGCGACTTACCCCAGTGCAGGGTCGCCAAAGCTCCCGCTTGGCTCACCGGTAAGTTCTGGTAAGCAAGAAACTCACTTTTCGTTGGCAACTGAATTTCAGCGACTCCCGCCAAGGGCTGATTCTCCAAGAGGAGCCCATCTGGACGACTCCGTCCTCTGAGTAAGTTCTTAAGGCGCGTAAGGTTAAATCTGAGGTGCTTTTAAGGTCCCCGCAAGCCCTGGAGATGACTCGCGAAGCCCCCACAACATGGCTGAGCCCTCCTCCAAGGTTCTAAGGCTTTCGCCCTCTTAATCCTGATACTAATTTGATTGTTTTCCAGACCGCCCTCGATTGAAGCCAGGTATACTCGAGCTTTGTTCCAGTTAAAGTGATAAAGAACTTTCCGCACATATTGCTTGTTTTACACCCTTCCACTGCCATAAAACTGAAATTCCTTTCAGCAAGCTGTCGGCTCTGGCCTCAAGGATAACGGGAACCAGGTGAGCTTATCGGCTAATTTGGCCTTAAACTCTTCTAACCGACAACAATAAGTTCTTGTTGTATCTGTTCGTTCGTAATGTGGGCCTGGATATGGATTTTTCAAGCGAGGGTTTTTTAAAAATTCAGCGGGAAATGGCTGAAACTGTTTTTTTTGGGGGGAATTTGTTGCAGGAATTCGCCACTCGCCTCTCTTAGCACTGCCAGGACTCCCAGAAGGTATTAATTTTCGATGTTTTTTTCCCAAATAAATCGCGTTTTTCTTCTGATTAGAGCGCAGCCATCTCAAGAGCTCGGGTAAGGACAGGGTAAGCAACCCCCGAGTAGGGCTTTAAGCTGTGTAAAATTTTCAGTGCATCCACTCCGAGAAGATGGATATAAGTGAGGTGATCAACCATGTAATCCGGAGGAAATCGTAAAAAAGCTGTAACATTGACCTCCTTCCGAGCCACTTAACACCGTAATACAATGAATAAACCCATTTAAAAACCAGTATTCCGAACAAGTGATCTTTGCCCAGATGGATTCCTATCGGCCACACCCGATTATTATGACGAGGAGTTTAAAAATGATATATTGTTCAGCAGCAGGAGATTTACATGTCTGCCTTCACATCATTTTGATGACTTTTAGCCGATCTGATAGGGTCATTTTGACGCCGAACCAGGCAGTTATGTGGGTTTAATGCGGTCTAGAATCATTCGCTTTTGCCTCCCACTTGTTTCATAAATGTTGCGTATGTGCACACGCCTTTGGCTGCCTGAAAGTGAGAAAATTAAGTATGAAAACCGAGCAGGAAATGGCTAAAAACGCGGTAATTTGCCTTGATTTACTACGTTCGTTATCGCGAAACTCGCCCAATTTTGGCCCAATTTTCAAACTTCAACTACAGCGAAAATTCTTGATACCCTACACACTCTAAAACACGAAACGAGCCCAGTTAAAGACGCATTTTCAAATTTTGAAGACCTGAAAAGAGCAAAATTTTTCAGCTTTCGCCCGCCATTATCAAATGTTGGCAGCCTAAAGGCGCTGAAACTGCGGACGGTTTTTGCGCGGTACTTTGTATTCTTTCGCACTTTTCGCGCGTTTGGCCCAATTTGAAACAGAAAAACCCTGAAAAAAGCCAACATTTCGGGCTTTCAAACGCAGTATTTAGTGTCGTTATGTTCGCAGAAACGCTGGATCTACGGCCGGCTATTACCTAGAAGTTCCATTTTTTGAAACCACCCTTGCAAATTGTCTTGATTTTGGAAATCTTTCATGTTTTTTTCCTTAAAACGAGCCCAATTGAAGATCGATTTTCAAATTTTGAAAACCTCATTAAAGCCACGATCTTCTGCATTCAAACGCTGCTTTGGTATACCGGTAGGTCGCAAAAATGCTGAATCTACGACCGCTTTTAACCTAGAAGGTCCGTTTTTTGAAACCCCCACACTTCTACACTACGTATTTGGGTGCTGCCAGTTCGAAGACACGTTGGAACTGCAACTGAATTTAACCGAAAAAGTTCGTTTATCGAAACTTCTTACACTTTTCAGGTCGAAGTAAGCTTAATGAATGGCCGATTTTCAAATTTCGTAAACCCCAAAATAGGTAAACTTTCCGGCTTTCGCAGTTTTCACGTGTCGACAGTTGGTCAAAGCGCTAAAACTACGGCCGGTTTTTGCGAGAAAACTATGTTATGTGTATCCTTTCACACTTTTCACTGATAAATTTTGAAATTGCGAGCCGCATTTCAAATAAAAATTTGGCAAATAAAGGCAATTTTCGGGTTTTCAAACGCAGTTTTCAGGGACCAGAAATGAGTAAAGACGCTGGATCTACGGCCGATCATAACACAGAAGATCCGTTTCATGAAACCCTCTTAACTCTAGATCACGTAACGATCCTAATTAAGCACCCATTTGGAAATTTTCAAATCCCAAATAAAGCGGAGGTTTTGATCTTTCGAAGGCGGTAACTGTTTTAACTGGAAAGTTAATTTTTTTAAAGCCTCCACATTATCCACCTCAGAACAGGCGCATCTGAGGGCGGGTTTTCAAATCGTAAAACCCCGATCAAAGAGGAAATTTTCAGTTTTCAAAGACAATTCTCAGGCGTTGAAAGTTCCTTTAAATTCCGGAAGTATTACCAGATTTGACCGCAAAAACTGGAACCGTCCGCCCTCCTCACGAGTCAAATTAACACGACTTAAACACTTGCTAAATTCATATCCAGAAGGCTTCAAATGTGTACTTACCGAAACACTAGCAGGAGAATCCAAGCGCCTAAAAGCCCCAACGTCGAGGCTCAAACACTTGCGCTGGTACTATCATAATCAGCAGCGTTTTCTTGGTAGAAACATCCCGGTCCACCCAGTTGCTTTCGTAGGCGGCATTTCCCACATTCATGCTCTGAAATCGGCATTCTAAAGCCCACCGTTTTATCACCATTTTTCCCGCCTGCCTCCTCCCAGATCGTGTCGGCGCTTCATGCAATGAACTCCAGATTGGTCAAAACGTTGGTGATAAACAGCAAACAGTAGGAAATATATGTGGGCTATTTTACCTGAAAACCCGATGATTTTCTCTAGCCGGCCTCCAGCAGGGAAGCGAGAACCTGTAGGAGCTGCAGAAGACCTGCGGCCCCACTGAAAGCCTCCAGAGCATAATCCAGCAGTAAAATTTCCTGAACTCCCGCATTGAGCTGGCTGATGAATCTGCAAAAAAACTGATAAAACTGGTTTTCCTAATACAACCACTCACTGGATCAGAAACTGATGTTCTCTGATCAGAGCTTCCAGCTCAAGATGTGAGCAATTATCGCCAACGATTCTTTGGATGTTCAGCTGCAGAATCCTGAGCTGGGAGACCGCAAGCACCATCAAATACTGCGAAGGAGCAAATGATGCTGATACAAAGATTCCTCCTCGTTCGTTCGCGTTCCACAATGGTGGCAAACATGTACGGAATGCGGTTCTTTATGTAAATCAGCACCTTGTAGGTGATTTCGACAACAAGAAACACCAAAGTCAAATGCACATAAAGATGTTCTAGAGCCATTTGAGCAGATAGCTGCAATATTCTGTAGATAATTGACAGAGTATTCAGCGCAAAGATCATCTGGATGGTTATGGAGTAGATAAAGTAGACGCGCTGATGAAGAGGGTTGGTGGATAAGAGCAGCCCCTAAAGGCCCGCCTCTTCCATGCAAATTTTGGAGATTTTCTAGATGTTAGAAGCTAGGGCTCAATTGATGTTACAATAAAGGAAATAGAATTTCAGTGCTTTTTCTTGTTGTTTCCAAACACTAAAGTTTCACTGTAATTACCTACAAGCAGGCGTAGAGGAGAAGTTTTCGCTTCGTGAAGGTTAGAGCCTTGGAAACTTTTGCTTCAGCACAAGTTTTTAATTATTTACGGTCTGAACATACGTTTGCAGGCAAAAGTGTTTAAAAAACCACTTATTCGTATGTTGTTTATTATTAAGGGCGGAAGTTTTGCAGGGCTGATGAGGATCTAATTCAATGGACGGAAATTTTCAATTGCTAGCTATTCAGCCTGTTTTCTATAGAGCACATTTGAGTCTACATTTCTATTCAGTTTTAAGAAACTGAGGAATTAATTTAGGTGAGGAGAAAATTTTGGGAGGCTTCCAAAATTGGAGCTACAAGTAACATTGCTTCCTGCTTCTTTCAAGCTGTAGAAAAAATTCGTAGCGTTTAACTATGGACAAGTTTGGCTGTTCTATATTTACAGGGTGTAGAGTAGACAGTCATCAGTTTTTATTTTGTCCAAGTTTCACGTAAATATAAGCGAGGATTGATTGTTCATAGAGCTCAAAACTTGCGCTTGAAACAACGCTGGTTCTAGCTAGTACTTTAAAAAAAATCAAAATTTTAATTTACGCAAGAGTTTGGCGGATCTACGCATACAGAGTGCATAGTAACTATTGCGGTACATTTTTACAAAGTTTCACATAAATCGAGATGAGGTGCGATATTTTATAAGCTTTAAAACTTGCACTTGAAACAACGCGGTTCCCAACCAGGGCCTATTCTTACAAAAAAATTTGTATTTTAACCGGCGGCGAGAAATTTGCCTGTTTTTTATATACAGGATGTAGAGGAAATATCGCACTTCACTTCAAAATCTGAAGTAAGTTGAAGAAACCAATGATTTTTTATAATCTTCAAAACTTGCACTTGCAACAACGCGGTTTCTAACCAGTGCACATTCAGACAAAAAAATTCGGAGTTTCAACCTGCGCTGGAATTTGACTCTTTTTTATATAGGAGGTCTAAAAGGAATGTCGGGCTTCACTGTGACGAATTTTGAAGGAAATTGAAGAAACTAATGATATTTTAAAAGCTTCAAAACTTGCACTTGCAACAACGCGGTTTTTAACCAGTGCACATTCTGGCAAAAAAATTCGGAATTTCCACCTGCGGAAGAATGTCACTGTTTTGTACATACCGGGTGTAGAGGAAATATGGGGCTTCACGATAGCAAAAATTAAAGGAAATAGAAGAAACACGTGATTTTTTATAAGCTTTAAAACTTGCACTTGAAGCAACGCGGTTTCCAACCAGTGCACATTGTGACGAAAAAAAGTCGCAATTTTAACATGCGGAAGAATTTCACTGTTTTTTACATACGAACTGTAGAAGAGATATCGCGCTTCACGTTAGAAAAATGTAAAGAAAATTGAAGAAAGTAATAATTTTTTATAAGCTTTAAAACTTGCACTTGTAACAAGACGGTTTCTAACCAGTGCATATTCTGACAAAAAAATTCTAAATTTCAACCTGCGGAAGAATTTGACTGTTTTCGATATACGGAGCGTAGAGGAAATGTGGGGCTTCATGTTAACAAAATTTAAAGGTCATCGAAGGAACGAATGATTTTTTATAAGCTTCAAAACTTGCACTTGAAGCAACGCGGTTTCCAACCAGTGCACATTGTGACGAAAAAAAATTCGGATTTCAACATGCGGAAGAATTTCAGTATTTTTTAAATACGGACTATAGAAGAAATATCGGGCTTCACGTTAGCAAAATGTGAAGAAAATTCAAAATAGCAATGATTTTTTATAAGCTTCAAAACTTGCACTTGCAACAAAGCGGTTTCTAACTAGTGCACATTCTGACAAAAAAATAGTCCGAATTTCAACCTGCCGAAGAATTTGACTGTTTTTTTTACAGGGTGTAGAGGAAATATCGGGCTTCACTGTTCCGATGTTTGAAGAAATTTCAAGAAACGAATGATTTTTTATAAGCTACGAAACTTGCACTTGAAACAACGCGGTTTCTAGCCAGAGCATGTTATTTTTTTTTTAATCAGAATCTGAACCTGCGGAGAAGTTTGACTGTCCGGTACAAACGGAGTGCAGAGCAAACAAAAGCCTACATTTCCTCAAAGTTCTACGTAAATCCAAGTGAGGCACGATTTTTCATAAGCTTCAAAACTTGCAGTAGAAATAACGCGGTTTCTACCCAGTGCACATTCTTCCAAAAAAAAATCAGAATTTCAAGCTGAGGAAGAGTTTGGATATGCTGCATATACCGAGAGGAAGACAAGTATTAATCTACATTTGCGCAAAGTTTCACTGAAGCCCAAGTAAGGCCAATTTTTTACAAGCTTCAAAACTTGCACTTGAAGCGAGGCGGTTCTCAACCGCTGCACGAAATTGCGACGAAAGAAAAAAATTCATAATTTCGAATTAGAATCCAATTGGACCCTATTACATATACAGCGTATTAACAAGGTATCAGTCTGCCATCCCATAAAATTTCACTCAAATCCATGTAAATCCCGATTTTTTAGAGGCTTCGAAGCCACTTCCTAGTCCCGCCTCTGTGTTACCACAATTGGCTCAAAAATTCCCCAACGCCAACCCGAATCCCCTTCAAATAACCACAAGCATACATTTTAGATGATGATTTTATTTACATAATGGCCTTTAAATCGCTGACAAAATGTACAAATAAATTAATCATTTGCTTCCGTTCTTCACCAAGCTGGGGCGGCGTAGCTGGACACTACGGGCTGAGCTACATATTTGCTCACCACTGGAGCTGAGTAGGAGAGAGCTGGGGTACCGTAGCTGCTCACAAGAGGCTCAGAAATGGTTTTGGTGACCAATGGGGAAGAGTAGGAGACAGCTGGGGCGGCGTAGCTGCTCACAAGAGGCTGGGCGATGGTCTTGGTGACCAAAGGAGAAGAGTAGGAGAGAGCTGGGGCGGCGTAGCTGCTGACAAGAGGTTGGGCGATGGTCTTGGCAACTACTGGGGAAGAGTATGAGAGAGCTGGGGCGGCGTAGCTGCTCACAAGAGGTTGGGCGATGGTCTTGGCAACCACTGGGGAAGAGTAGGCAAGAGCTGGGGCGGCGTAGCTGCTCACAAGTGGCTGAGCGATGGTCTTGGTGACCAATGGAGAAGAGTAGGAGACAGCTGGGGCGGCGTAGGAGTTGTAGGCAACAGCTGGAGATCCATGTGTAGTGTAGGTGGACACAACGGATTTGGAGAGAGTTGGGGCCGAGTAGGCAGCTACAACAGGGGCGCCGTAGGACTTAGCTACAATAGGAGCAGGCGCAGCGTAGGCCGAGACTAGAGCCGGGGCAGCGTAGGACTTAGCCACAATAGGAGCAGCAGCCGCATAAGTAGCCACAGGACTTGGGTGGCTTTGGTAGGTGGAGCTGACCGATTTCGAGAGGATGGCCGGTGAGGAGTAGGCGGTCAGAGCGGGCGCTGAATAGGCAAGAGCTGGCTGGCTCAGCAATTGTCCAGCGTTCACGAAAGCCAAACTGGCGGCAAAGATAACGAACTGAAATAAAACAAAAAATCAGTCAAATGCACCCATAGTTTGAAGGGTTTTACTCACTTTAAAGGCCATTGTAGTGGATTTGTTCGGTTTGTTTGCAAAACTGATACATTTTCGAGCACTAGATCGAGTTTTATACGAAATTCTATGGATCTCCTTGGGCGTGGAATCAACTTTCGCCCAAAAAAAAAAGCGAAGTCTGGTAGGCTGGATGTCCGCGTAAATCACGGTCGACTCGTTTTGCAGTGAATCAGTCAGTCAAGTTGCGATTATCAAGTTGCGCAATTTACATTTACCAGATTAATAGATTTTCAGCCATGAATTTAATTAGCATTTTAACCCCTTGTATTCAGCAGAGAAAATGTTGCAAAAAATGTTTTAATTTATAAATCGCCCGGCCAAATATGGTCCAGCCACTACATCAATCTTCACATGCTTAATTAAATATCCGGAATCGCACCTATTCACTATGATTGGCTCATTAGTAGTTTAATTATTAATTATTTTAGCAGTATCAACACTACATATTTTACTGGCCAGGGGAACTAATTAATTTCGTTGTTATTATGCAAATATGGAGCCAAAGCCATTACTGGCAGGTTGGCAGGTTTTTCATTCCAAATTACTGTATTTAAATCTCATTATTTCATTACCTGAATAGGACTTGACAAAAGCTTTTATTTGCTCATTTTCAAAGCTGCAACTTTGCTTGTTCCTTTGTGGGAAATGTGCTGTTTCAAGGGCAAGTTTGAAGACCTGGCAAAAATCACTGTTTGGCGGGATTTGCATGAAATGTTGTTAAAGTGTAGACTCGTACTTTGAATACACTCTGTATACAGCAAAAAGTTCAACTCGGCCTGACTTTGAAGTTATAATTTTTTTACCAAAAATTGATTGCACTTTTGAGTTGAAATCCGCGTTGTTTTCTAGTGCAAGTTTGAAGGCACCTCAAGAATAATTTCATTCTGGGATTCGAGTCAATTTTCGGCAGGATTTAGCCTGGTATCTGGTACTCTTTGGATTTTAAATCGGTGGTATTCATGGGAAGTTGAAAGTTGTGATTTTTTTGCAGGTTCTGTGCAATGGTTGCAAATTCCGTTGTTTGGACAAGTTTGAAATCTTCTCAAAAACTACCGAGTTTATGAATTAGAATAAAATTTTGCAAAACTGTAAATTTATATATAATCTACGAGCTCTGATTATAAAGCGATCCAAGTCTGCCTCAATTTCAAATCATGACTTTTTTCCAGAGCATTGCGCCATTGTTAGAAACCGCGTTTTTTCGAGTGCAAGTTTGGAGGCCCCGCAAAAATAGTTCCTAGCACCGATTTGAGTCAAATTGTGTCAGGATGTAGCCAAATATCTTGTATACACACTGTATTTCTGGAACAGCTCAATTTTTTTACAGCTTGCGTGCAGTGGTTACAAAATAGCGCTGTGTCGAGTGCAAGTTTCAAGTCTTCTCAAAAGTAACTGAGTTTATAGATTGGAATAAAAGTTGATTAACTTGTAGGCTCACACATGGTCTACACGCTGTGTGTGCAAAATAGTCCTACTTGTAGTCAGTTAAAAAATATGATTTTTTTACGAGAGAGGTTGTCTGAAATCGAGGTTTTTCTTCTGAAAATAGAGGCTCCTCAAAACTAACCCCTTAGTGGGATTTCAGTGACATTTCGTCAGAATTTAGCCTGCTTCTTGCCTAGAGTGCAAAAGTATAAAACAGCATGGAATCTTCCCAAATTGAAAATTCTGAATTTTTTCGCAGGTTGTATGCAATGAGTGCGAAATGCGTTGTTTCGAGTGCAACTTTGGAATTTTCTGAAAAATCATTCAGTTTATAGATTCGCAACGAATTTAGTTCGGGTAATATATATATAAAGTCTACTCACTGTATATGTAAATGCCCCAAATTATGTTATATAATTAATCGAAAATTATTTTTACGGTTTTTTTGGCGGGAGTGCATAAGTTAGCAAATCGCGCTGTTTGTAGTATACATTTGGGGGCCTCTTAAAAATCAATCTGTAATTGGATTTGAGCAGAATTTTACGAAAATACTGGCGAGTAGCTTGTGGACACTCTTATGATTTTATGAATGAGTGATGACAATGAATTATGATTTTTTTAGCAGGTGCATCGGTGTAAAACCGCGTTATTTCTAAGGCAAGTACGGAATTCTCTGAAGAATCCCTCGAATGTTGGATTTGGGTGTAGTTTCCTTTGAATGTAGACTGAACGCTTGTCGATTCCAGCTATATATAAAACAGCTAAACTCTCCATTAGTTGAAAATGTATACTTTTTTACGGAGGGTGCAACGGCTAGCAGACCGCGCTGTTTCTGGTATAACTGTGGAGGCCACTTGAAAATCACTGTGTAGTTTGACTCCAGCACAATTTTGTCAGAATATTGACCGATGCCTTCCGAAGGCTCTGTGAACAGGAAACAATCCAGCTCGTGCTGAATTAAAAATTATAATGTTTTTACGGAGTCTGCAACGGTTAGCAAACCGCGCTGTTTAAAGTGCAAGTTTGGAGGCCACTTAAAAATCACTCTACAGGCGAATTTTGGCAAAATTTTGTTATAATATAGGCCAATATGTTCATGATATTTTCTGACAAAAGGCTATAACTCGACTTCAATTAGAGATTACGATTTTCAGCAGGTGCAACGTTGGAAACCCGCGCTATTTCTAGGGTCAGTTTGCAGGTCTCCCAAAAATCACTCCGTTTATAAATTTTCATTAGATTTCGCGGAAATGTCCCCCCATGTCCTGCCACCATCCTGCATGAATATTGAAACCCAATTCATCTTCGATTTGAATGAATGAATAAATCTTCGAGCTCACACAGAGGAACAACTACTGATCTTAACCTTCACGGGATTCCCAATCAAACTGCATAAATTCAACATAGCAAATGAACTTTATTTAAATCGACTGTTTTCCTATAATTACCAGGCAGCTACTGGTGCATTGTACGCCACTGGAGCAGGAGCGGAATAGGCAGCAACCGAAGGGGCTGAGTAGGCTGCAACTGAAGGTGCTGAGTACGCAACAGGCGCATGTGCAGCATATCCGTAGGCTGCAGGCGCTGAGTATCCATAGGCTGCAGGTGCCGCGTAGCCGTAAGCTGAGACAGCAGCCGGTGCTGAGTAGGCAGAGTAAGCAGGGGCGGGATAGGCGACAGCTGGCGCTGAGTAAGCTACAGGGGCAGCGTGATCAGTGTAGGTGGAAACGACTGACCGACTGACTGCAGGAGCTGAGTAGGCTGCAACTACTGGCGCTTGCACTAGTGGAGCAGCTGAGTAGGCAGCAATGGATCCAGCGCTGGCAAAAGCGACTGCAGCGGCCAAAATTACTACCTGCAATGGAAAACTCAATGAGCTCAGCAAAAAAATCAAAAGTTTGCTAAACTCACTTGTGGAAAAAACATGTTCACTTTGGTTAATTACTCGGCAACTGATGACTTTAACGGTTTTGGCCGAGGCTTTTATACACACAATTCAATCTGCTTGTGACACAATAAAGAATTAAACCAATTTAGCTACCGAAATTTTTCATGCATAACAGTGACACTTAACATTTTGAAGACAGAAAAGTCTAGGCTGCTTCCAGTGCTTCAGTTTTACATAACAATTATTGCAAACTGGAGCATTTGAAAGAAAGTGAACTTTAAGTTTCGGTTGCACTCTGGTCCTTAGCGCCGGATTATAATGGCGCATACTTACTTTTGCCTAGGGAATCACTACTGAGAAACTAACAGACAGTAGTCCAAAGGAAATGAATATTTATTCGGTCCTTAAATTATGTAATCACCAACACTCTGTATGCGGCAAGAAGTTTAACTCACCCTGACTGAAATTCTGATTTTTTTACCAAAAATTGATTGCACTTTTGAATTGGAAACCGCATTGTTTTCTATTGCAAGTTTGAGGGCACCTCAAAAATAATTTCAATTTGGGATTCTAGTCAATTTTTGGCAGAATATAGCCTGGTATCTGGTCTACACTCTTTGGATTTGAAATGGGTGGTATTCATCGGAAGTTGAAAGTTGTAAATTTTTTTACAGGTTCTATGCAATGGTTGCAAATTCCGCTGTTTGGCGTACAAGTTTAAAATATTTTCAAAAATAACTGAGTCTATGGATTCGAATAAAATTTTGTCAAAGTCTAGATTTATATACAATCTACGAGCTCTGATTATAAAGCAGTCCAAATCTGCCTCAATTTCAAATCAAGATTTTTCTCCAGAGCATTGCGCCATTGTTAGAAACCGCGTTTGTTCTAATGCAAGTTTGGAGGCCCCTCAAAAATAGTTCATTGCACCGAATTGAGTCGAGTTTCGTCAGGATGTAGCCAAATTTCTTGTATACACACTGCATTTATGAAAGAGTTGCGATTCTTCGGAAGTTGGAAGTTCTCAATTTTTTTACAGCTTGCATGCAGTGACTGCAAAATAGCGCTGTGTCGAGTGCAAGTTTCAAGTCTTCTCAAAAGTAATTGAGTTTATAAATTCGAATAGATTTTTATCAAATTGTAGGCTTACACATGGGCTACACGCTGTGTGTGGAAAACAGTTCAACTCCTAGTCAGTTGCAGAACATAATTTTTTTACGAAATAGTGTGGCATTGTTTGAAATCGGGGTTTTTTTTCTGAAAATAGAGGCTCCTCAAAACTAACCCCTTAGTGGGATTTCAGTGAAATTTCGTTACCATTTAGCCTGCTATCTTGCCTAGAGTGCAAAGTTATCAAACAGCATCGAATCTTGGAAAATTGGAAAAATTTCATTTTTTTGCAGGTTGTGTGCAATGGGTGCAAAATGCGTTGTTTCGAGTGAAACTTTGGAATTTTCTGAAAAATTCATTGAGTTAATAGATTCGCAACAAATTTAGTTCGGGTAAGATTTATATAAAGTCTACTCACTATGTATGTAAAACGCCTCAAACTATCCTCAATCGGAAATTATGTTTTTTTTGGCGGGTGTGCAACAGTTAGCAAACCGCGCTGTTTCTAGTGTACATTTGTTACTGTAATTGGATTTGAGCCGAATTTTACGAAAATACAGGCTGGTAGCTTATGGACATTCTGTATGTACAAAACAACACACCTCGTGCTCAATTCAAAATTATGATTTTTTTAGCAGGTGCAACGATGTAAAACCATGTTATTTCTAAGGRAAGTACGGAAGTCTCTGAAAAATCCCTCGAGCGCTGCATTTGGGTGTAATTTCCTTTGAATGTAGGCTGAACGCTTGCCGATTCCAGCTRTGCAYAAAACAGCTAAACTCGCCATKAGTTAAAAATGTATAGTTCTTTTACGGAGTGTGCAACGGCTAGCAAACCGCGCTAGTGTAACTGTGGAGGCCACTTGAAAATCACTGTGTAGTTTGACTCCACTACAATTTTGTCGGAATATTGGCCGATGCCTGCCGAAGACTCTGTGAACAGGAAACAAGCCAGCTCGTGCTCAATTATAAATTATAKTTTTTTTACGGAGTGTGCATCGGTTRGCAGACTGCGCTGTTTCAAGTGCAAGTTTGGAGGCCACYTAAAAATCACTCTACAGGCTAATTTTGGTAAAATTTTGTTGTAACAGAGACCAATATGTTGATAAYATTTTCTGAGGACAAAAGGSTATAACTCGACTTCAATTAGAAATTACGATGTTTTTTCAGCAGGTGCAACTGTGAAAAACCGCGCTATTTCTAGGGCCAGTTTGCAGGCCTCTCAAAAATCACTTCCTACATAAAGTTTCATTAGATTTCGCAAAAATGTCCCCCCATGTCCTGCCTCCATCCTGCATGAATATTGAAACCCAATTCATCTTCTATTTGAATGAATTAATAAATCTTCGAGCTCACACAGAGGATCAACTACTGATCTTAACCTTCACGGGATTCCCAATCAAACTGCATAAATTCAACATAGCAAATAAACTTTATTTAAACCGACTGTTTTCCTATAATTACCAGGCAGCTACTGGTGCATTGTACGCCACTGGAGCAGGAGCTGAGTAGGCAGCAACCGAAGGGGCTGAGTAGGCTGCAACTGAAGGTGCTGAGTACGCAACAGGCGCATGTGCAGCATATCCGTAGGCTGCAGGCGCTGA